GCCCTCTGCGGCCCGCCACGACGGCGGAGGTCCCGCCCACGCTCGCCCCACTTCCCTGGACGCGACCACGCGGCGGAGGGGGAGGGGGGGGGCGCCGGGAGGCCGCCACGGGGGGAAACCGACAGTGGGGGGGGTTCGCAAGGGGAACCCCCGCCGCACTTCGCGGCTTCGCCGGGTTTGCTTTCCACGGGGATCGCGTCCTCGTCGCCGCTGTCGTCGTCGTCGGGGTTGTTGCGAGGGCGGGCCCCGGCGTATGACTTTCGGGTCGTGTTAAGCAGCGGAAAGACGAGCGTGCGGCCGATCACGTTGGCGGTCGGCCTCGGTTGCGTTCAAGGCGCCCGAACAACGATGGAGGATGATCATTTCATCGCCCTCGATCGTGCGGAGGTGCGGGGGCGATCGGTTTCCCTCGTGGGTGTGTTGGACGGCCACTGCGGGCGTCGCGTGGCGGCGATGGCGGCGCGGTGGTTGCCGGAGTTCTTCTTCGCCCATGGCGCCCTCGGGGATAACAACGCGCTCGCGATGGTGGAAAGTATCTTGCTCGCCGATCACGCGATTTATAAACGGCTGCGTGGAGAAGGGGGGGATGAAGGGGGGAGTTCCCTTCATTTCGTCGAGCGCGACGGCGCCGCGAGCCGAGGGAGAGAGGAAAAGGAAGAAGAAGAAGGCGTTGAGGAGGAAGGAATAGGAGGGATAGACGGGTGCGTTCCCAGTGGCGGCTCCACCCTCATCGCCGCGGCTGTTCACGGGCGGATGTTATACGTCGCCTGCCTCGGCGACGCCCGTGCGGTGCTTTACGACGGCCACACGACCATCGCGATGAGCGAAGATCACAAACCCGCGAATCCAAAAGAAAGCCGTCGGATTGCGCGATGTGGGGGGTTTGTGCGGTTCGGCCGCGTCTGCGGCATCCTTGCCGTTAGCCGCGCGCTCGGGGATTTTGAGTTTAAGATGCAACGTGGCAGCCCCCGCGCCCCACGGATCACCGATCGCGAGAAAAACGACGTGAAAAAGAAAAAAAACAACGGAAACGACGACACCGCGCAGCCGGAGTACGCCGTGAGCAACGTCGCCGACGTCCGTCAGCTCCACCTTACCGACAACTCCACTTTTTTGATTCTCGCCTGCGATGGGTTGTGGGATGTGCTGCTGAACGAAGAGGCGACGCAGTTCGTGAAGGATTTCCTCAGCTACACGCCAGATATCAGCGATCCGCTCATCCACGCGGGGCGGCGTCCACGACCCCCACCCCACGTCATCTCCCGGGTGTTGAATAACTGCTGTCGGAAACTCGCGGAGTTCGCGGTCGACCGTGGGAGTATGGATAACGTCTCCGTGATGCTGCTTTTCTTTCACGATGTGGTGGATTCGGTGGCAGGGTTTAATCGGGGCCCCGGGGTCGTCGCGAATGGACTCGGCAACGGCCTTTCAATGAATTGTAGCGGCAGTGGAAGAGGGGAGAATCTGCCTCGAAGCTCCGGTGGAGGGAAGGAGTCGAGGCTGAGGAAGCCGTCCATCCGTCATCGCCGCCACCTCCTCCCGCCTGACTACGAGATCACGAAGAAAAAGGCACGGCAGAGAGGCGGCGCGCGATGATGACTCACGCGGCTTGAAATAAAGAAGTAAAAAGAGGACCCTTCCCTTTGTTTATCGCTCCCGTGGTGGTGGCGATGTGGTTTTGGTGAGTGATGATTGCTACGTGGGTGGCAAGAAAGCGAGACTCTTGCGTGAAGTAAAGAGGGAGAAGAAATGAAAATTAAAACTAATTTGGACACAGTGATGTATAATTGGTATGTATATGCACTGCACGACGGTGTGTTTGCTTTTTTTTTTTGTACATGTGTGAGTATGTGAAAGAGGGAGATTTTGTGTTTATTGTATTTTGCTTATCAAGTGAAAAGGCGCAGTTAAAACAAAGTAAACGGGTAACGAAGGGTTTAACCTCACTTTCGATGTAACTTTTTCGCATTAAAGGCTTTAGCTTTCTACACCGAAGTCGCTACAGACTTGCGGCGATCAGAAAATGTAATAATACTAGCAATAGTAGTCGCTCTGTCCTTTCTGAAGAGTGCTGTACATATCCTCAGATTTTGAGGAGGGTATTTTTTCCCCTTCCCTCCCCCTTTCCCTACCACCACCGTCCAGGGTACGCATAGTGTATGCTTATCTTTGATGGTTGTGTGTGTGGGTTTGCAGATTGAAGCCATAAATATCAAGAATTTGGATTTTTATTTCATTTTCTTGATATTCTTACAATTCGTTTATGATTGTAGATTTGACAGAATCCCATTTTTTACCTTCACAGGCTTTGCATCAAAGGAATGCTATGCACCTTATCATCTGAATTTGATTAGTTTCTATTTTTGGTCGAGAAAATGTGGAGTTCGTTTTTTATTCTTTCAATACCGCTTCTAACTGTTGGTGGTGGCTATATTTTAGGTGTCCCGTATATTTTCCATGTCTGCAATCTTTAGCTGGGAACAACTTTTCTATATTACACAAAAGTGACGAGAAACAAACCAACAAAGATCGTCTACGTATTATTATTATTCTCCGATCGCATATTTAAAGAAGACAACTATTAGAAAATTGATGTATTTGACGATTATATGAGCTAGTAGGTATTTGATCCACAGATTGATTACTACATTGGTGTAGTGTGTAGACGTCGCGCATTCATCTGACTTATTTACCACGCCCTATTGTAGTAATGTATAACTCTCAATCTTCATTTTATTTTCCTTATGGTGATCACAGTCATTTCTACTTCTCACGGTACCCAAAAGAACTTTCATACAGTTAAGTAATCCAACTCTGATCTACACACCCCTTGCGTCCGGTTTCCGCAAGGTTATTGTTCAACATTGGTATTGCCTAATTTAATATGTGAAATAAAATATATGTTTTTTTTCGGTTTACTGAGAAAAGCAAGTGAAACTAGGGATACAGCTACACGACGACGCTCATTACAGATTCACGTGAAGTAACGGGCCGTATTCCCACGTTTCTTAATGTTTTCATTTGCTGCAATTCTGTAATGCTGTCTGTAACTTATTAGGCTACTGAAGTGAAAACGGTATGTTAAACTTCCAAGTGAGCGAATCTGAAATTCTTTCTTGCGCCATAAAACTCATTCCTGTTTGTCTTTATGTAGTATTATGGCATTTTTTTTATTCATATATATATATATATGTGTGTATATGTATATATATGCGGTGGTGTTTACTTTTGTGTTTACTTTTGAATCCTCTCCTCGGGCTGAGAAAGGGAATATAGATTAAACCTTTCTCAAAATCAGACGTTGTCCTTTGTTCCCATTTGACTTCCTTTATTTACTCCATTAGGGTAATTTCTATAACCCTTGCTTAAACCATAGCAACCCCCCTTCTCCATTTACCACACCTCATGCAAATGGGTAAGTGGATATACACAAGAATGCGCAAAAACACGGAAGGGGTATATTGGAATGCGAGACAAAGGCCTTTTTTCCTTGCTATTCAAATCGGATTTCGTTCTTTTTTTAAGCTATTCTTCGCTTTTTGATACATTGTAACCGCCGTATAAGTGTCCCTCCCTAAGCTTGGTCCATCAGCAGGCCTGCGCTCTCCTTTCATGCGTATCCTTCATAGACTTTCACCTGTTTCTCTTTCCTTTTTTATTTTTTCGCTTCTGTTTGTGTGAATTAGCTAGGAACGTCAATCCCAACGCATCAGGAAGTCACCGCAATCATAATCGACCAGATTGAATCACTTGCTTGGGGTCCAGAATACCTTTTCCCGTTGGCCGTAAATTGTGAAACCCTGGCAGTGCATATCAATATCTATCTATATCGATATATGTAGATATAGATATAGATAGATATTATGCTGTCTGAAGAAGAATTGAGCGTGCTCACGCTCAAGGCGCCGTACGTCTGGGAGCACGGCGATCGGCCCTACTTCGCGCGCGAGCTCAACCGCCTCGCGGCAGAGCTGCACGACGAGCCCCCTTTCCTAGGTTTTTTCATCCGCTACCGGAGCGATCGGGAGGATCCTTCGCGGCATCGCTGGGCGCGCGTCCGCCGCGTCGTCAATCTCGAGGATGACGACAAAGAAAAGGAAAAAGAAGGCGAAAAAGACGGCAAAGGCGGGGAGCCTCGCGGCTCCATTCTTTGGCGACGAAAACGCTTCACCATCGCCTTCGAGGTGGTCGGGGAAACACGCCCGGTGCGTCCGCCCCGGCTCTCCGCGGGGCTTCCGGATTCCGACGAGGTGCTTATTTTCTGCGCGCATCAATCCACCCATCATCCGGAGGAGGCCTACGCGGCGGATGATCCTTCCGCGCTTTCCACGCTCCGTCGTTTCCTCCCCACCCCTGCGCAGATCGCGAAGCTCCGGCGGTTTCGTCTTTCCCACCTCACACAGCACCGATGGACCGCGGACGAGATCGCGGAGGCGCGGAGGCGGCCACCCGCGGAGGCCCCACCCGCCACCGCCCCGATGCTTCTCGCGCGAAACCGGATTCAAAACCTCCGCGCGGAGACGAGTCTCTTTCAGCACGAATCGGGAAAACCCTCCACACGGGAAGGGGGGGAAATCGCGCGAGGAGGGGGGGGGCGTTTCACCCCGGCCGCCGCCGCCCCGCCGCTCGCGCCGTTTCTGCCGAAAAAACTTCTCCGCCAGCGGCGTGGCGGCGGGGAGGGAAGGGAAGGCGAAGGTCCGCGTGAAAACGAAACCGAAATCGACCACGAACCCGCGATGGAATCCCCCGGATTCACCCCGGCGATCGATGCGGCGATGCAGCAGGAGACGCTCCGAAGCTGGGCAAGCGCCGCCCGCCAGGCGGAGGCGTTTTACCACCACGTGAGCGACCCCCAACGCCGCGCGTATCTCGATAAAATCGCCGCGATCACCCGACGAAATGCGCAGCGAAATCGACAAAACCGCCTGCGCGCGTTGGAGGAGGCGCGGCGGTTGCAACCGGGCGGGGGGTTGAGTGAATCAGGTGGGTTGTGGATCACCGATGACGCCCAACGCGCCGCCAAGGCCGCGCTTTATAAAGCGGAAAAAGAAGCCCATGACGGCCTCGTGAAAGCCGCTGGCGACGGCGGCGGCAATAAAAAAGGCAAAGATGAAGCGACTTCCGACGGAGCACCTTTTGCGCGGCCGTCGCCGGAGGAAGAACGCCTGGAGGCGTTCGCGCGGAAGCATCGGGAGCAGACGATCCGCTTCGATGACGTCCCCGAGGAGTGGTTTACCGAGGGCGAAAAGGAGGGCACCAACGGGGCGGAAAAGACGAACGGGGAAGAAAAAGAAGACGAGAGGGCAGCTGAGAAACGCGGCGCGATGCGGCCACGGCAGGGAAATCCGAATCGCCTGATCGCCTGCGCGGATGACTGCGCCGGGGTGTTGAAACGACGCCGCCTCACATCGCTGCTGCTGCACGCCAGCCTGAGTCGAATAGCCTGAAGAGCGAAAGGAGAGAAGAAAAATAGAGGGAAAAGCGTGGCGGCTGGAGCGCCAAGAGCGAGCCTAAATTGGAGAAAAGGGCGAAAAACATGGCACGCGCACCACCCCAACCCGAAGCAGAAAAGGCCCTCTACACGATTTAAAAATGACAAGAAGGATCGGGTTTGGGGGGGTTTCTTTGGAGGTGGTGGGAATCTCTCTCGTTCTATGATCCCGCCATGTGGGGTTCGAATGATCGGTTGTTTCAGGATATCGGACTTTATCTTTCAAGAGAGGAGTGGCGAATAGAGAGTCTCTAGCAAAGGGAGAACGGTGATCACCTGTCATCATCTAGACGTCCTCTGACATTATAGGCGATGGACTTTCAAAGTCAGTGATTAGGCTCTTTCGGTTATTGCTCTTATCAGCTATGAGTGTGTAAGCGTCCACTTGGGTGGGGAGGGATACTGTCTGCTTCGTCAATTCAGAACAAAACCAGGAGGATGGGGTTTAATGTCTTGATTGAAATATCCAGAAGGAGAGATGGAATAAATAGGCACGAAGAAGGGGTTGCTAATTTGCGCAGATGCATCATTCATTGGTGTGTTTTGGGTTTAGATTTAATATCTTGTTCCTTGCTCTCCTTTTGGTTGCGTGTCTAGTAATTCAAGGGAAATCACTTAAAGGGGGGGGTTCACATTGTCGCCCACCGCTCATCAACCTTTGTATGTAACCCGCGATATTAACGACTGAAACGAAAGACTATGGTCATTTTTCCTGTTTTCTCGTCTCACTGATGCCCTGTGTAAACTTCATACCCATACACGCCAATCCACCAGCTTTCTCACGCGTTTTGTTTTCTTTTCTCACTTAGGTTTTACTCCTCCTTTAGAATTAATCCCTTGGCTATTATTGGTGAACGCGTTTCACATTCAATAAGGGGGAGAAGCGAGTTCGCGTTCAATCCGATGGAGCGCTCCGATATTCAACTCGCCTCGGAGGTTCTGAAATCCGGTGGGGAGGTCCAAGACGTGCACGAAAACACGGCGGTAGCGTTTGATCCCCAGACGAGTCCCGCTCCCAATGGGCGCCCCCTCGCGGGGAGGAAAAAGCGGCTTCGGGGCGCCCACGCGGCGCTCGCGGAGCTGCTCCGGGATCACCAACGCTACGCCACCACCCCTGAGAGTGTGAAGTTTTTCCACCAAACCGCCGCCGCCGCGGGCGTCGTCGCGGATGGCGACCCGGCGAGGCCGTCTGGGGGGGTGTCGTGGGCGTTGGCGCCCGCCGGCCATCCCGGAGAAGGCGGGGGCGGGCTGAAGCCGGATATGTTCGGCCTCGTTGGTGGCCTGGAGACGAGC